AGAGTGCAGTACAGAGAAAACCAGGTTATTAACAATTCCTTATCATAAGTTTGTCTTGTAGAGACAACTAAAGTGATTTTAGGTCTGATGAAATATGGAGAGAATCATAAAGTTCAGGATGATGCAACATTAACAGTGAAAATGAGAAAAAAAGTATCTTATGCCATTGAAAATATTTACTGTAGCTATTATCTTAAATACATCCAGCATTTATTTAATCAGCCATTTGTTTTTTCTGTTTACTTATCTCAGGAGACATGTTAAACTTGGACTTCTCATGTTCTGGATAGCATGAAGCATGATAGCTTTTAGCTTTCATTTCTTTATAGGAAACTAATGAATTTCTTCATTTTTAATTCTTGGTGAGGGCCATTAACATGTTGCAATAGATAAGATTTTACGTTTTTGAGCTTTTATGCCATTAAGTAACTAGAATGAAGTGGGGGGAAGTCCACATATCAAACTCAGCCATTCTACCTTTGAAAAATGAGGACACTGTCAGTCAAATATTACTCTGTGCTGGTGTGTGAGAGGTAGAGGTCCTGGTTTAGAATCTGCTTCCATGATTTTATATTTTTGTGGCCTTGAGCAAGTCAATTAATCTCCATAGGTATAAGTTTTCTCATCTGTAAAATAAGGGCATCAGACTAAATGACCTTTGAGGTCTGTTCCAGGGCTAATCCACTAATCCTCTTGTTGTTAAGACACTATTATAATTGTTACAAAATATTGAGAAGGGATAAAAAAGGGAGTCTTTGCCTTCAAGGAGCATTAATATTGTCAAGGAGATGAGGCACTGTCCACATCAGTTTATAACTGGCAATAATACTGGTATGTCACTACTGCATTTATGGTACAAATAGTAGATTATTTGGGACATAATGTCCCAAAAAAACAAAGTGTGATTTCATTGATGTGAGAACTTTGCTACTGATAAAAGTTTCTATACCAATACAGATTGGCAGCTGATCAACTTAGAATGATTCTATTATTAGTGATTGACCTAGGCCACTGAGAGGTTAGTGCTTAGCTAGGGATATTAGAGGTCAGACTTGAACCCAGGTTTGCCTGCTTCAGAGATCTCTTAGCAGTCTACTCTGCCATCCAAACACTTAGAAACAATTAGCATATTTTATGTTATACAGTTAGGAGTAAGGCATTCACCTTCAAGAGGTAAATATTCTCTGTGTGCCCATGAACAAATTACCTCAACTTACTGCTCAGTGTGATTAAACTAATAATAAGAATTAATGTCCATGTCAGTTGTTCTTTTGCAGGGTTAAAGTAGTTTTAAATGACTTCTGAGAAAGATTTGTGGTTATGCAGCTTATTCCCTATTTACTTAATGCAAAAGATAATAGCATTTTTAATATCACAACGTGTGATGATCTTGAAGTGCTGTTTCAGACAAACTCTCAGTGCACTTATTATATATGGTTGACTCATACATAGTAAGTTTTTGTTTTGGTTTTTTCCTTTTAAGGTAGTGAAATTGCCTTTTAATGTTGTATGATAAGTATTTAATACAGTTTCAGATGAGGGAGAGATATCATTATAGCTGTTTAACTGGTTTTCTAGGTAATGAATATGCCCTTTACCCAAGTGTTTATGTATGAAATATACAACACCCACCCACATATACTCACCATTTCTTCTTCTAGTATTGTCCCACCTGTTAAGCAGGAAGCAATGATTTAGTACCATTAAAATACATACTTATAAAATACATACACAGTTTTCAAAATTGTGGCCATGAATTGCTCTACTAATTCTGGAAAGCAGTTTGGAATAATCCCCCAGAAGTCAGACGTAAATGGTGCTTTGTATGTGCACCTAAAGTGGTAAAAGGACCAATTCGTACAAAATATTTATAGTATCTCTTTTTTGTTAGAGAGAAAAACTAGTACCTAAAGATCTTGCACTTCTGGAATTGCTCAACAAATTATATTATATCAATGCAATCATCATAACAAATGAAAAACTGGCTCCATTAAGAGAAACATGGGAGAATTTATATGAACTAATAAAGAGTGAAATGGAAAAGAACCTAGAGAACAACATTGAAAAAGTAGTATTCAAACATAAGTTTGAAAGACTTAAGAATTGATCATTGAAGTGTCCCGCCGTGTTTCCAGAGGGCCAATGATAAAACAGTGCTACTCACCTCCAAAAGTGAGATGATGGACTCATGTAGACTAAAACAAACATTTTCCCACATGGCTAATGTGTGGATTTGTTTTGCTTATTTGTTACATGGATTATTTTTTTACTTTGAGTGGGATAGAGGTATAGTGGAGGGAGAGAGGGCTAGAAATAGTGATGCCAAAAAGTGGGGGGTGGGGGAGGCTTGTTTGAGTATTTTTTAATGTGCAAAAGAGAAGAGAAGGAAATTCAGATGGAAACAAAAGGGATAGCCTTGAAGCTAATATGTTGAATTTATTCTGTTTTTAAAAAGAGCAATGTTTATATACTAGAGATTTGTAGTTTCATATCAGTCCTTTTTTCTTTGTATGTAGAGATGTTCATGTTTGTTGGCATTTGTTCAGAATAATAAAAATTAAAATTACTTAGAAAATTTGATACCTTCTTGCCACTTCTTTTATTTCATGCTGCTTTAATGTCAAGCTAATATGTGACTATAAAAAATTGTATGTAGATTGGTTGCTTAGTATATCTGAAAGTCATGGTATGCTATGTGTGTGCGTGCATGTGTGTGTGTGTGCGCGTGTGCATACGTGCACTTTGATCATCTTCTCTTCTGAATAATATTTCTTCTGGGTTTTCATGACTACTCTTTCTTGGTTCTCTTCCTCCTTGTCTGACTGTTGCTTCTGGATCATCTGCAGTATCATAGACTATTAACTATATATTATGTACCCCAGGATACTGCCCTGAGCTATCTACTTTCTCTCTCTTAGTTCTCACTTTGTGACCTCTATACCATCTCTATACAAATGAATTTGAGATCTGTATATCCAGGCTTAGTCCTTCCTGAGGTAGGTGATCCATAAATATCTCAAACTCTGCATGTCTAAAGCTTAACTCATTATTAATCCCCCAAACCTACTCCATTTTTTTTAACTTCCCAGTTTCTTTCAGGGAAACCACCATCCTTGAAATATTCTTTCCTTTCCCTCACTCCACGTGTCCCATTGGTTAGCAAATCTTGCTGTTTCCACCTCTTCCACTTTGCTTGCTCCTGCCTCCTCAGTATGCATGCAGCCAGTACTATAGTTGAGTGAGTCCCTTATCACATTTCTACTAAACTATTGCAGAGGTCTGCTCCTTGGTTTCCATCCTTCAGATCTCTCCCTACTGAAACTTGTCTTCCATAGAGCAGCCAAAAGTATGACCATATCACTTCTCTGCTTACTAAAACTCCAGTGGCTTCAATTACCTTGGAATATTTTTTTGTTTGGCTTTCAAAGCCCTCCCCAAACTGGCCCACCGATTTGTCCAACCTTGTTCTTGTATCATTACCCATCCTGAACTCTTGTGTTCTGGTCAAACTAGTCTTGCAGTTATTACACATGGTACTCCATTACCCATTTCTGGGCCTTGTCATTGACCACCCCCCATACCTGCAATACATTTCTCCTTCCCTGCACCTCATACGATCTCGTTGTATTTTGTTTGTATGTATTTTCTGTATAACTCTATGCATACGTGTTGTGATCCACTCCAGACTGTAGGAAGCTCCTTGAAAGCCAGGACTCTTGTTCTTGTTTTTCCTTGTATCCTTAGCACTTCGCAGAGTACCTAGCACATATTATGTGCTTAAGAAATGCTTAGTGACTGATTGTACATATGTGTATGAGCACATACATGTGAATACATTCATATTTAGATAGACATAGCATGAGAAAAAAATCAAAATCCATACTAGTCCCATTTTTTTTTCCTTACAGAGAGAACACTAAGTTTATTTTCAGTATAAATTTGTGCTTGGGAAATTTTTTATGTTAATTTGAATTTTATCAAGTTAGGCTATCACCATGTAAATAGGAATCCAGAGAAAGTCCTTTTGTGCTAGTTTAGAGGTGATGTTTATTAATCAGGATAACCAACTACTGATTTTGAAAGAAGTGTCATGCCCATCTACTTGTTAAAAACAATTGAAATGGAATAGGATTGCTCAATTAAAAAAAATGATGACAGATGGTTTCAAAGAAACCTGAGATGGCTTATATGAATTGATACAGAGTGACATGAGCAGAAACAGGAGAACACTTTATTCATTAACAACATATAAAGAAAAACAACTTTGAAAGACTTAAGAATTGTGATCAATACAATAACCAAACACAGTTTCAGAAGATTAATAATGAAACACACTGTCTACCTCCTGACAGGGGTAATGGATTCAAGGTATAGAATGAGATACATTTTTTTTGGACATGGCTGATGTGTTGATGTGTTTTGCTTGATTTTGCTTATTTGTTACAAAGATTGTGTTTTGTTATTGTTGTGTGGTTTGTTTGTTTTTTTATTTAATTGGGAGGGAATTGGAGAGGAAAAGGAGAGCTACCAGTAATGCTGTCAAAAAAAAGAAGAAGAAAAGCATTTTTAATCACGAGAAAGGGAACAGAAGGAAGTTCATAGAGAAAGAGGCAAGTTTTGAAAGTTAAATGGTGAATGCATTATATACTTTTTAAAAAAGCAAGATGAACATAATAGAGATCAGTAGTTTCACATAAAAAAAGAAAAGAATGTGAAATATATAGCTAACATGTCTTATCCTTCATCAGCTGTGGGATTTACTCTCTTACTTGCTAATAAATTTTAATTTCTTCATAAAAATAAAAAGTGTAATTGGACTGGGTTTGACTCTTCTTTTGATTTCAGTGGAATTTTGTAAATACCACACAAAAAGTAAAGCGTAATTATACAATATTGAGTTTCACCTTCATCAAATATTAGCATAATTTTGGTCCAAATTTTCTTCTAAAGTACCTTCACAAAGTGGATTATTTAAAGTAACCAACTGTTCCATTTTTCAGGTCTTTTCTAATGGTCACCTGGGAAGTGAAGAATATGATGTCCCTCCCCGGCTTTCCCCTCCTCTTCCAACTACATCCTTCCTGTCTAACCTAAAGTAAGTTCTGTTGAGATTTGTAAATCACTTGTTAAAATGGAAATCATTAGAAGTTGTACTTCTGCAAAGAAACTTTATTATAAATGGGCAAGGAGGAACAGAAAAGTCTTACAATCCAGTTATAAATGGCAAATGCTAAAGATTTAGATTGCTCTGACTTTCTTTAATGCAAGAGAAATTGCTCAGTATGGATTGCATTTGGCAGAGAATGGGAGGCTTAGGTTCTAAAGCAAGGGAATGGTAATGAAAACTATATTTTATGAAGATTATTTTATTCCCTAATTCACTGGTTTCATATACGCACACTTTAATGAAACTTGAACTTTTTGGATAAAAATAATCTTCCTAAAACACAGCTTTCACCACTATTCAATGAAATTAATGAAATTGTCATAATTAGAGTCTGTACTTTTAGCACTTCTACTTATTAAATCTGTTGGGAAGTGGAGTGAAACCTCTAGGTGTGTGGGTCGTTTCATTTTTATTGAACTAAAATTATCTGGTTTGTAGATAAGTGAAATAAGAATTAGCAAAGTTCTAATGAAATTTATTTCATTGGCAATTTCCTAACACATAAAATTTCCAGTAAATCTAAAACTGTCCAAGTGGATACATTTTTCCATTACCTCTTATTTTTCCCCAGAAGCAAAATGAAATTGTATTGATTAGATAGAGGAGTATTTTAACACGGTATTTTCAACACATTGAATTTTACTTTTTCCTGTAATGAACATTTGCTATAATCTTTTTTCTTATAGTAATACCAATTATAATAGGAGGTTTGGTAAATTGACGTGTACATCTCATAATTGGAGACTCCAGTTCAGTTTTCCATGTTTTGGCTATCTACCCACACAATTTCTCTTTGCCTGGTTAAAAACAGTAATGTTGGCTTTTAATGGCTCAAGTTATTCTATGTATTGAGATGACAAAGTGACATAACAGAAAAATCATTAGATTGGGAGTTAGGACACCTGGATCCTAATCATAGAATTTTAGATTTAGAGCTAGAAGAGACCATAGAGATCAATGTCCTGTCATTTTATAGATTATGAAAAACAGCCCCACAAAGAAAAGTGATTTTTCCCAAGATAGTAATTATGGTAAAATTATTACCTGGAACTCAAACCCAGGGGCTTGGGATTCCAAGTCCAACATAATACAAATGGAGTAAATATTTATTAAGCACCTAGAATGTTGCAGGCAGTGTCCCAAGTACTGAGGATACAAATAAGAAAAAGACAGTCCCTACCCACAAGGATCTTACGGTCTAAAGACGGAAAACAACACAGAAAAGGAAGCTTAAAAGGAGGGGGGTAAGTGGGAAGTGTTTGATAATGGTGGAGTCAAAAGCAAGCAGTATAGCCATTGGAAATAAAGCGCTGTGTATGGGCTTCTGAGGTCTATTTAAATAGGGACTTCGGGAGAATTTTTTTTGCACAACTCTCCGGTCAGAAGGGCAAAGACAACTGAGAATCCTGATGAAGTATAAATACAAAGCTGATGAAATCTCTGTGATGATAAGTTCCCTGATGATGAGGTCTTCCTTGGGAAAAGTTGAGGGCTCTTTTCCCTATATTTGACCCAACTCTGGAGCTAAATATGTGACTTCAGGCAAATCAGATCACTTCTTTGTGTCTCAGTTTTGCCATATATAAAAATAATGTTAGACAGGATAGTTTCATGAATTCCTGTCAGCTGTAGAAATCTAGGAATCCCCAGAGGCTTCTCACAGACCCATGTGGTTTCCCTTTCACCTAGCAGACTTTTTTCCTTCCCTCTTAAATGCTCTTGAGAACTTTTCCCTCCATTGCTTTTGGGCTCTCAAGGCAAGGTTTTCTATCAAAAGTACAACATTTTGTAGAAGAGCAAGGGCAATCACAAGATCAGGGTTCTACTCAAACCTCTGCTGGTACTTACTGTAAAGTGCTGTATAGGTTGTATAACTTCTCTGGTATTCAGTATCCTCATATGTAAAAAGAGGTTGAACAATCTGACCTGTAAAGTCCTTTCAAGTTCTCTCTCTTCATGTAATTTATCTTGGAATTTAATATAATTTTGATATTATATGGTCATCATTTTTTTGTGGTTCCAGTTAGCTTTATTGGCTTTTTTTTAGCCTATTTAAATTATTAGTCATACTTAAGTTCAAGCATTTAATATTGAATAAAAAGCTAAGCACACCCCCTTCTCTCTCTCCTCTTTCTCTTTGTCTGTCTGTCTGTCTGTCTGTCTCTCTCTCTCTCTCTCTCTCTCTCTCACTCACACACACACACACACACACACGATATATATATATATATATATATATATTTATATGTATGTACGTATGTATGTATATGTGTGTGTGTGTGTATGTATGTATGTATATCACTGATACATAGGTGGTGCAATGGATAGAGTGCTGGACCTGAGTTCGAATAAAGGGCATTATTACTAAAGTCATGCCTAAGTAACAAATAACTAAGAAATAGGTTTTAAATGCATAATTTTATATTTCCCTGCTGACTCCCAAATAGATTCTTCTCTTTGTACCCCCTACTCCATATCCCAACCTCCCCCTCAAGTCCTTTGTGTTCTTTATAGCCTAGTTTCTCTCTTTAGCTCCTGTTTTGTATCAGCAATTGCCAATTGCATTTTTTTTCCCCAACTGGATATGTTGCAAGCATCTCAAGTTGAACCAGACCAAAACAGAAAACAGAATTCATCGTCTTTAACTGCCTACTCCCCCACCTACCCAATTCACCTCTTTTTTAGGACACTGTCATTTTTCTGGTAATACAGATTCAAAACCATTCATTGTATTATCCCAAAACCAATCAGTTGCCAATCATATCAGTTCTCCCTCTATGACATCTCTCTCACTCATCCTCTTCTTTCTCCTTACATGGCCACCACCCTCATTTAGGCCCACATTGCCTCTTGCCTAGATGATTGCAGAATCTTCCTACTTGATCTCCGTCTCTAATCTTCATACTCTCTCCATTCTGTCCTCTACAGAACTGTTAATTGTTATTTGTAAAACACAGGTTACTCTTGTTCAAGAAGCTTCAGTGGCTCCCTGTTATCTTTACAATAAAATACAAACTCTCTGTTTGGCATTTGAACCCAATAACAACCTGGCTCCAACCTACTTCTAGGAATAGGATTATTAAACACTGTTCCTTTCATGCATGAGTTGCCCATCCTAGCCAAATGGACCTAATTGCTGTTCCCTGTACATGAGATTCCATCTCAGTGCTTTTATTTTTCCATACCAATAATACATTTTACTTTCACTTAGGCCTGTTAGAGTCCCTGGCTTTCTTTAAAGCTCAGCTCCAAGGTAGTCTAACACATAAAGTCTTTTCTTGTAGTCTTCCATATCCAATCCTGAAATAGTTGTTTTTGCTTTTTATTCTGACCCTTCAGGGCACTTATCATAATGTACACTACCTGCTAATGAGGTGTGTGGGTGCCTTTGGAAAAATTCTGCCCCCATCCTTTATCCCTTGATTCACCTCATAGTTGGGGTGGCATATTCTTTGTAGAGATTTGGTTCTTGAGTTTGGGAGCCATGAACAAGAAGTAAGAGCCACACCCCTACCCCTTCTCCTTTGTGGGGAGACAGGGAATGTCACACAGGATGAGCAGGCATGGATGGGTCGGGACCTGTACTGCATGTAACATTAAAATGTCTTTTTTCGCAAACCCCCAATTCATCTGCCAAACTCCCCTGTTACTGTCAAAGGCACCCACATCCTTCTAGTCATAGGTTTTCACCATTTCATTGTCATTTTTGACTTGTAATTTTCTCTCACTCCAAATGCACATACTTTCTGTTGATAAAGCTTGTCAGTTCTACCTTCATATCTCTCCTATTTTTCTCCGTCTTTCTTTTCACACAGCCACCGACCTAGCTGAGGCCCTTATCACCTGAGAAGTGACAGCATGTCCTAATTGTAGGATTTCACTTTTACCAAAGTGATATTCCTGAAGTGCAAGCCTGACTATTTCATCTTCTTCCTCCTCCTTAATAGGCTCCAGTCGCTACTTATTAACTCTTGATTCAAATGTTATTTTATCTTCATCCCATCCATTTTCAGCATCAGTTTATAAAAAAAGTTTTACAATTAAGTAATTAGCAGCACTGTAGTATGTATATAAATAAGTAAATATGCACATACTGGGAGTGTGTGCTCAAAAAATTTGTAATCAAAAAAGTTTGTAAGTCACGGCTATAGATCAATAGAATCAACAAGGAAATAAAATAGCGACAGAAAGGTTAAACAACTCATACTATTTTTGTTTTACTGTTTGTTTCACACACATATATACATATATATGCACACATATAAAATTTTGTAGATGCTTTTGGAAGTCAGTGTCTTGTACAAGTTACCTGATGTCTGTGTGTGTGTGTGTTTTTAATAAGCTGTTTCATTGTCATCTTCAGTATAGAGTAGTTGTAATTGTCTCATATTTTGTACTAAGATTGTTTAGGTCAAATTATAAGAAATAAGTTTCTTCAAGATGAATGTAAGAACATGTGGGGAAAAATAACTAAAGGGAGATTGCATGATGTTATACAAAGTAAAATATGTATGTGTATTCTTATATGCATATATACATATGTGTATGTATAGAGTGTGTATGTGTGTGTGTGTAACACACCCTTTCCCCCCTGGAGAAATTTCCCTTTCCGTCTACTAATTTATCTTACGTTAATTCTTGTATATGAACTAGTTACCCCAACATTTTTTCCCCTTGCTTTCTTCCCAACCTCTATGCTCCTTCTTTGTTGAAGGTGATATGCAGTTGTTTTGTTTTTTTTTTTTTCAAATGGAAAACTCCTTAGTGGAAAGCTTTTAGTTTCACATAAGCAAGAATATATGTGATAAATAGTGCCAGCAGATCATTGCTTCACTCATCCAAAGTGCTCATTTTTTCCAGAAATTCTTTCTTCCGTTGATTGTGCAATGCCATAACTTGTGTGCATTTGCTTTTGACCCAAAGGAAAC